TTTGGGTTAGCGTCTTCATCAGGCCAAAATGGATATATCTCCTCCACCGGATTCACCTCAAATGGCTTACACGAACCTATAAACAATTACAAGAGAAGTTAGTATCATAGATCTACCACGATAAAAATTATTAAATCTACCAAAACATTATCAAAACTATTTCCTAGATACCTATAAATCTACCAAACTTTATCCAAACTATACATTATCTACACAATACCATACATCTATTATATGTCGTCCAAAGTCTAAAAACAAAATCTACCATACTCTCCAAAGTATACCATAAAAAAATCATTACATACCTTGTTGTCATCTGAATTACGTTTCCCCTGTTCCATAACATTCTCAAGATTGAAACGCGGACGAGATGAATGCCACCGTAGGAGAGGAATTGTATCAGGATTTTGGTCGTTTTGTACTCTCTTCTCAAACTGTTCTCCCAATATAGACACTGACTCATATGCCCAAATAAGCACCGCATGGACAAATCCATGAAGAGTATAACTATCTCTATCAAAAGAAGAAACTCTAATGGACTCTACTAAAATCTTGAAAGCAAGTCGACTCCACTGTGAATTCTCAAAAGCTTCTTCATCTAACACCCTTTTAGCGCACTTCAAAGGGACTCTACTGTTCCGGTGAAGACCAAATATTCCAACATGCAAGATGAAGAGCTTGGCTACCATTCTCTTCTTTCGACCTATCCAAATCTGGCATCTCGACAAGACATAGCCTAGCTGATACACATTAGGACTTTCTGATGCACTCAATGATCGAATTGCGAGAAAAGTCGAGAGGCAGACCTACCATGACTTGGAGGACGTGCTACACCATGTCGTGCAAGCTGAGCAACACATTAAGAGGAAGAACACTTCCACTAACCGGAGTAAAACTACTTGAACACCACAACCTCAACGAGCCAGAAACAATTCAAAGGGAGAACATATTCCACTCACGGTGCACCATAAACTCCAATGTATGTAGCTTAATCATTGATGGAGGTTCTTGCACTAACATGGCTAGCAAGTATCTTTTTGAAAGGCTAGGACTCAAAAAGACTAGGCATCCTCGGCCATACAAACTCAAATGGTTGAATGATGAGACCAAGCTCAAGATTTCCGAGCAAGTTACCGTGCCCTTCAGCATTTGTATTCTACAGATCAGGTAGTGTGCGAGGTAGTTCCCATGCAGGCTGGACACTTGTTGCTTGGTAGACTTTGGCAATTTGACAAGGAGACCTTACACAATGCCCACACCAACTACTATACCTTCACACACGACAAAAAAAAAGCATAATTTAGCACCACTCACCCCTTAAGAAGTGCATGAAATGCACAAAGCCATGTCAAGGGGTTCGGAGGTAAGTAAAACTAACCTCTATGTTTACACCTACAGTTGTAATTAAGTCTCTTGATTTGCAAGAAAAGGTGCTACTAATGATCTTCAAGGAACGTTTGTTTTCAGGTCAGGAACAACAAGAGCTCCCTACAGCCATGAAGGAACTGTTGGATCGTTATTCTGATGTGTTTCCAGATGAGATCCCACCAGGCTTGCCTCCCATTATAGGGATAGAGCATCAGATTTATCTGATCCCTGAAGAATCGTGGCCAAACCGAGCCGCTTACCGAGTAAATCTCAAGGAGTCCAAAGAATTAGAGAAGCAAGTGCAAGACCTAATGTCAAAAGGGTATATACGCGAGATTCTAAGCCCATGTGTTGTCACTGTCTTGCTGGTGCCCAAGAAAGATGGCTCTTGGAGTATGTGTGTTGATTGTAGAGCATCAACAACATCACCATCAAATATAGGCATCCTATACCCCGACTTGATGACATGCTCGACGAGCTCAACGGAGCCACCATCTTCTCTAAGATTGACGTGAGATGTGGATACCATCAAGTGCGCATGAAGGAAGGAGACAAGTGGAAAACTACTTTCAAAACAAAGAGAGGGCTATATGAGTGGCTAGTGATGCCGTTTGGATTCACAAATGCACCAAGCACATTCATGAGACTCATGAATTACGTTCTCAGGGCGTATATCTGTAAGTTTGTAGTGGTATACTTCGATGACATACTAATATATAGTACTTGTCTTGCAGATCACTTGGAGCATCTTTCACAGGTTCTAGAGACACTTCGACTAGAAATTCAAACATTAAGAAATGCATATTTTGCACTGAGCAGGTAGTATTTTTAGGCTTTGTTGTTAGCTCACTGGACCTTAAAGTTGACAAAGAGAAAATCAAGGCAATACAAGATTGGCTTACACCAACTACTATCGGCCATGTGAGGACTTTTCATGGCCTCGCAAGCTTTTACCAGAGGTTTGTCAAAGATTTCAGCACCTTGTCAGCACCACTGGCTTCGATGGTCAAGAAAAATGTGGAGTTCAAGTGGGGACAGGCACAAGAGGATGCATTTAACTAGCTCAAGGATCGCTTGACACATGCGCCTGTTTTGGTACTCCCACACTTTCAACTAACCTTTGAGATTGAGTGTGATGCGTCTGGAACAGGTATAGGAGCTGTGCTAACTCAAGGAGGGAAAACCGTAGCCTACTTTAGTGAGAAACTCAGTGGAGCCTCATTGAAATATCCCATCTATGACAAAGAGCTTTATGCACTAGTAAGATCCCTTGAAACTTGGCAGCACTACTTGTTATCCAAGAATTTGTTATTCATACAGATCACGAGACTCTCAAACAGTTGAGAGGACAAACCACGCTTAAGAGGAGACATGCAAGGTGGCTACAGTTCATTGAGACCTTCCCATATATCATTAAGTATAAGAAAGAGGAAGAAAATATAGTCGCTGATGCCCTGTCTAGGAGACATGCTCTCATTTCCACATTAGAGGCCAAGGTATTGGGTTTTGAGCATATAAGTCACTTTATGAGCATGACCCCGATTTTCAGGAAGCTTTCCAAGAGACCCACAAGGCGGCTTATGGTTCATTTTATCAATATTATGGGTTTTTATTCAAAGATAAGAGGTTGTGTGTGCTGCAAGGTTCCATGAGAGAGTTACTAATCAGAGAAGCTCACAGGGAGGGCTCATGGGACATTTTGGGAGAGACAAGACCCTAAGTGTGCTGATGGAACACTTCCACTGGCCACATATGAAACGAGATGTAGAGAAATTTGTGCTAAGTGCATTACTTGCCTCAAAGCAAAATCCAGGTCACATCCGTATGGTCTTTACTTACTTTTGCCTATCCCTAACCTACCATGGGTAGATATCTCCATGAATTTCGTTCTAGTATTGCCCAAGATCAACAACAAGGATTCAATCTTCGTAGTGGTTTACCGATTCTCCAAGATGGCCCATTTTATTCCATGTAACAAGACCAATGATACCACTTAAACCGCAGATCTATTTTCCAAGGAAGTGGCGCGTTTACATGGAGTTCCAAGGACCATAGTCTCTGATCAAGACACCAAATTCCACAGCCATTTTTGGAAGACTTGTGAAAGAAACTAGGAACCAAGCTGCTTTTCTGCACCACTTGCCATCCACAAACTGATGGCCAAACAGAGGTAGCAAACTGGACACTTTCCACCTTGTTGAGAGTTACGGTGGGTAAGAACTTGAGGAATTGGTTATCTTGTTTACCATATATCGAGTTTGCTTATAATCATGTTAAACACTCAACCACTAAACAATCACCATTTGAAGTTGTTTATGGGTTCAACCCCTTGACCTCTTTAGATCTCTCACCGCTTTCCCAAGCTGTTTACTCTAGTGCAGAAGGAGACACCAAAGCTGACTTTGTGAAGAAATTGCACCTGCGAGTCAAGGAGAACTTGGAGAAAAAGACAGAGAAGTACAATCAACAAGCTGACAAACACCAAAAGCAGCTCCCGTCTGAACCAGGAGATTAGGTCTGGCTCCACATGAGAGCTGAGAGGTTCCCAAACCAGAGTAGATCAAAAATTTTACCAAGAGGACATGGACCTTTCCGAGTTCTATAGAAGATCAATGAGAACGCATATAAGCTCGAGCTGCCAGGTGAGATGAATTTTTCTCCAACCTTTAATGTTACTGACTTATCTCCCTTTCATGTAGGTGATCCTGTTCTGAGGTCATTGAGACAAGCATCACACTAGCTGATGAAGAGCCGATCAACATACCCACCATGAGACATGCACCAAGAATAAGATCAGGCACTAAAAACTTAAGAGAGGAGTTCAACAAATCTATAGAAGGGCTGATTACACTCATAGAGCACGAGGAGCTCAAGGAGAAGCTACTCAAAGGAGAGATTACCAGAGAGACACCAATGAAGCCCTTGACCGAGTTCAACACACTAGAGCCACCAGTCATGGAAGACATGGACGGATCAAATCTCACCTAGTTCAAGGACCTTCAAGAAGCCAAGAACACCAAGGAAACACCAAGCAATGATTACGTGCAACTCAGGCTCCAAACCTTGTCATTCTTGCCGGTCTTACAAGGCAACAAGGAAGCAGCCTTGTTTGTCATTTCCAAACAAGGGCAAATTCCACTCCTCGAGCCAATCTAAGTTTTTACATTTGGACTATTCTCACAAGTTTAATTTTTTTTTTCAGGAACTTGTCCTTAGTCGTTTGAGAGATTTTAGAATTTTTTCTTTTTCTTTTAAGTTAAACGTTGAGTTTCATAGTTTCCTTTTTGTAATCTTTTCCGCCAAGAGAAGCCACCCGCAGTCGTACCAGTTTATAAAGTTCCTTCTCAGCATGTAAACATTTACCCTTGATTAAAAAAATAATCGAGTTTTCTCTAGAGAACAAAACCCTAGCCGCAGCTAGTTTTATCTCTTCTTCTCTGGTGTGATTCCTTTGAGGCTGAGATAAAAGACTTATCATAGAGTTTCCATCCTCTGTGTGGCGTCTCTCGATCCATTGTTACCTTGTTCCTTCGTGTCACCATCCATCCAAACCGAGTCTACTAGAGAGAGCCGTACGGCCAGTTAGAGATTCACCACCATTCCATCCGAGTAAGAACAAGCCTCACTTGTTCCTACATCATAACAACATGCTTCTTCCTTTTTTCTTTCTTGGATAACTTGATTGCGGGTTCACAGTTTGCCCAAAACGACTCATCCAAGCACCCATCAAGAATTTCTAGGATCATGTTATCCAGCTTCTTATCAACATTTGGGTTAGCGTCTTCATCAGGCCAAAATGGATATATCTCCTCCACCGGATTCACCTCAAATGGCTTACACGAACCTATAAACAATTACAAGAGAAGTTAGTATCATAGATCTACCACGATAAAAATTATCAAAACTATTTCCTAGATATCAAAACTATTTCCTAGATACCTATAAATCTACCAAACTTTATCCAAACTATACATTATCTACACAATACCATACATCTATTATATGTCGTCCAAAGTCTAAAAACAAAATCTACCATACTCTCCAAAGTATACCATAAAAAAATCATTACATACCTTGTTGTCATCTGAATTACGTTTCCCCTGTTCCATAACATTCTCAAGATTGAAACGCGGACGAGATGAATGCCACCGTAGGAGAGGAATTGTATCAGGATTTTGGTCGTTTTGTACTCTCTTCTCAAACTGTTCTCCCAATATAGACACTGACTCATATGCCCAAATAAGCACCGCATGCACAAATCCATGAAGAGTATAACTATCTCTATCAAAAGAAGCAACTCTCATGGACTCTACTAAACTCTTGAAAGCAAGCCGACTCCACTGTGAATTCTCAAAAGCTTCTTCATCTAACACCCTTTTAGCGCACTTCAAAGGGACTCTACTGTTCCGGTGAAGACCAAATATTCCAACATGCAAGATGAAGAGCTTGGCTACCATTCTCTTCTTTCGACCTATCCAAATCTGGCATCTCGACAAGACATAGCCTAGCTGATACCAATTAGGACTTTCTGATGCACTCACACCCAAAACGGCCCTAAATTCACTATGCTCTATCTGTTTCCCAATTATCTTACGCAATTGGATCACAGTTTAGCTGCGTAATGTCAGCAAACTCGTGCAAAGAAAATCTCAATGGTTGGCCCTCTATGATTGACCACATCTTATACCTGTAACAAAACTAAATCAAACATAACCATGGAACAAGTTTACCATAAGTACAAAACAATATACCACATATACTATAACAACACTACAAAAAAAGTCTACTACATATGTGACTATTATATTAGGTACAAAACAAGTCTATCCCAAGCCAGAAACAAGTATACCTTAAGTACAAACAACTCTACCACATATACTTCTACACCTTTGTGCACACATACCTTCTGTCAATAGTTAGTTAGTTCGTTAAGAACTGATAAATCAGGTGTGCACTCCAGGTGTACCCTCTCACTGCAAGCTGCAGAATTACTCCTACTACAGATGCATTCATAACATCATTGAAGACCTCGTCGCCTAATCCCTCCCTCAGTTTTGACAAATCTGTTAAGTGGCAGCCATAATTGAAGTTATGGTTCCGCAAAGGAGACTTTCCAGGCAGATACATTCTCGAAGAATAATCCTTTGAGTCGCTAGATGTAGCCATCTCTCTTAACCTGTAACATTTAATATGTCAGCATTATATTAGGTACCATAATCACCAAAATGTCTAACTATAGAAGAAAACAAGTCTACCACTCCCCAAAAACAAGTCTACCACATACACTTCTATACCATACCTAAACTACATAACAAGTCTACCTAAATGTAAGCAAAAGGTACAAAAAATACAATTACACAACATAAGTATACCATAAGTAAACAACAAGTCTACCATGTATACTCCAACTAACACTTACTTAATCATGTCTACCATATCAAACATCAAATCTACCACATCATGAAGGTTCAAAATCAGCAAAATTTTTATATCTTTACGCAAAGCTCACCGGATATTTCTTGAGTTTTGCCAGAACTTCTGTTGACCGGAACCAACAATTTAGAAACACTCCTACAACAACAACAAAAAATTAGGGTTTACTTCTCTCGCAAAAATGGTTATTTTCAGTCGCCGCAGCCACTATTTCTCCATGGAATCGATGGAGGAAGTTTTAACGTCGCCTCTCAGACCCTTTGCATCACCGTTAGACCCTTCACGGTGACTCTGTCCACTCCGCATCGCGCCTCGCGATTGAAACTCGTGGAAGAAGAAGAGAAGAGAAGAAAAAACTCGTGAAAAGAAGAAATGAAAAGAAGAAAACTCCGGACAATGGTCAAATATGGTTTCGAAAGAGTAAATTCGAAGGGTTTCTTACCCGGAATCAATGATTGTTGAGAACAAAGACAGAGTCGACGAGAGGTAGCCGGAGTTGCCGTAAACCTCGCCAGAAAAGATGAGAACTCTCGAAATCGCTCTTTTGTTGTCGCCTCCTTTGTTGGGAAATTAGGATTAAGTTTAGGGAAATTTTTTTTCTATTTTCTTTAATATTTTGATTTTATCTTTTCATTTAAGGATTAATATTTTGATTTTTCGAAATTTTTGGAAAAAACTAAATCAATGGAAATTGGTTATTAAAAAAAATAAAAATATGGATTTAAAGGTCTTTTAACAACTTTTGAAAGTTGGTTTAGTTTGAAAAGTTGGAACGAGGTTATTCTAGTAAAACCGCACTTTTGAAGGTTATTCTAGTGAATTTTCTATATTTATAATTGATAAAATCTATATATAATAGAAAATCAACATTCTAAATGCGCTGATGTCAGTTTTTTTTTTTAATTACCTATAATGGATTAGCACTCTTTCAATAAAATTTTATAGATCTTTTCAATGGTTCAGATTTTACTAGGTCCCGTCTGATAATATCATCATCTATTAATAATAGCCACCTGAAAACTATGATTTATTGTACATTTTCAGACATAATCGCAAAATTTATCAAAGATATATTTTCAAATTTTGTGGAGTTTCATTAAATTTTTTAAATGTACATTGTTGTATATAACTCTAAATTATCAAAGATTACTTCTTTTAACACTTTACTTTTCAAATTTGGTATCTTTTCATTTTAATTTTTAAATTATACCTTTTTGTACAGCTATTTTTACTAAAGGTTAGCTTGTTTTAACATCTATGTCTTTTCAGATTCTATATATTTTGTTATGTGCGGTATCTTATATATTCTATTTTACTGATCCTTTCCGCATCCTCCTCTTAACTTTATGTAAGCACTTCTGTTAACCTTTCAACCAATCATTACGATCAAATCCTCATGTAAGTTCTAAAATACTATACCAATTTCTCTTTGTTTACTCAAACAGATCCATTTTTAATTACATGACGAAATCTTTCCCTCTCATGTTTTTGATCACCTGTTTATGTTTTTAACGGTCTGTCATAAACTTAAAAAAAAAAATTTGTATTTCTTTGCTTGTTCTTAAACTATCCGATTTGAAACCGATGATGCTACAAACTAAACCACGGATGAGCAATTCACAGAGAAGATTTGGCTTTATATTTGTAGTGAAATCCAGTATGCTATCCGTTTACCCCTTTTGCTCTAGCAACCAAAGAAATCCTCAATATTCAAACTTACAAATATTCTCAAAATCTTAGATCACTATTTGATAGAGTTCACAATGAGAGAATATAGATTATACTGAGAGATCTTCGATAAAGATGAAAGTGAAGAACGAAATGTGTGACAAGTTTATATGGATATCGTCATAATTTTGTGTTGTATACAAAGAACTTATTAAGATAACTTGATTATTTAGTTAATATCAACTTCTGAAATGTAAGTTACGTTCTAATATGTACAATAATATATTTCTAATCTAATAAAATTATAAAATATTTTAACAATTTTAAATTGTTTATTTAATGATTGTTTGATCATTCCAGAAACTAAAACTACATCATATATAATATTATATATCCTCAATAATCCTATCAGTTACATCCATAGAGGAAAATTAGTTTCATAAATTTTTGTATTCAACTCAAATGCACATCAGATTGAATATTAAAATATGTTGTCATCAACTTGAATATAAATATTATCTTTGGAGAGATTTAAGTGTTATAGTTATTTCATTAAGCCATTGCAACTCTTGAGTTTTTGGTTGTTTTACTAAACCTTTGCAACTCTTGGAATTATGAATATTTTACTAAACCATTGCATCCTTTATGTTTATGGTTATTTTACAAATTATTGTAACTATTTCTTAAAAGATTGAGAAAAAATTTAGAGAGAGAATATAAAAAAACATAAAAGATTTTTTATTTGTATGTCTTGTCTCTTAACCTAAAACAAGAGAGAACTTTGATTATTTCATCTTACAAGGGGTTTGTGTAATCGAAGGTTTTAATAAAGGCCATATACTATTCAAAAATGTTGTAGGAACTCAAGTTTTGATAAACTGTAAACTTGGATAATGACTGAATCGTGTAGGAGAATAAGGATTATTTTACACATAATAATATGAAAAAAATATATATATTAAAAGAATATGGAAACGAACAAGGTCTTTCTGGTTTAGGCATTTTGGAGAAGAAGAATTGGTGTTGGCTTCCAACGCATTCATGGGCTAAGAAATCAAGCTAAAAACTTTAGTAAAACAAACAGGTAAGAAACATAGTGATTACAAGTTATATTTTCAAAAAGGGAAAATCCAAAAGATTTTATAGTATATAGATTAGATATACATTGCAATGGAGTTTTATATACAGAATTTTTACAATTAAATTGATTAAAAATGGTGAAATATTGAAATGAAAGTAAGTGGAAGTCACAAGATTGAAAACATACCCGCTCCCTTAAATCTATTTATACGTTTTATCATGTCCTCATTAATGATTATTATGTTCATAATCGTTAATGCATATGGTGTTTACAAATATGAAGCCATGATTTTAAGATTTGTTCATGTAGTCTAAAATAGACTTTCTTTGTTTGTCCAGCCATCTTATACCTCATGTTTTGTTCATTTATTTATGATTCTAAAAGTTTTGTTTCTTATCATTTTGAAAAGAAATCTTCAAAATAACTTTTGTGAATTCATTAAGATCAGTTATTTGCCAACCATGTCTGATATTTTTTAGCCACAATGTGAACAAATTTGAGAAGACTATTAACTTTGAATTGTGCAACCCCCATGAAAGTTTTTTTTAATTGTTCGACAGAACACAAGACCATGCCTGCAAGTTATATAAAGATTTTTTATAGTCGATATTTGAGAAAATTATAGTCTGCCATTTCGTAGAAGGTTAAAATTATTTGTATCATATATTCTTTTAAATTTACATCAAGATTTTTTACATGTAGAGCTTATGTTAAGCTGAAATTGTATTATAGTTGTGAACAAAATTAGAATGTGTCGTTCCATATAATTGTCCTGCTCTTATGCAGATAATATAAGATTTATCTATGTAAAACTTTGTATTTATCTTATACGTATCAACTTGATGATATTTTGTTCTTTCATATGCAGTTCACTGTTGAAGTTTCTGATTAAAAGTTGTATATTATTGCATAAATGCCTACCCAAGGAAGTTATATCATAAAGGAAACTCAGATAGAATTGTCTTATGCATTTTTAATTCTTTCTTTTTTCTATGTTAAACTGTATTTACAGGATTCAAGCATTAAAAATCACGAAAAGATCTCATAAAAATTGTTTAATCATATAGTAATAAATTTTTGTATTCCATAGACAGTTTATGGTTTTTCGAGTTATCCATCTATTTGAGATATCAAATAATCTCTTCTGCTTGAATGAGAGTATCCTTAAATCCTCGATATTTTCATTATAAATCGACTAAAAGACTAATGGAGAGAAAGTAGTGAAATGTTTTTTTTGGCAATGATATGAATCTGGACCCTTCTTGATCGCAGTCTAATTAAGGATGGTAGACTGATAATCCTTGATCTTTGATGATTTGCGAAGCAGGATGATGAGATATGCCCCAAACTCGACTTAGAACAAACCAATAAAGTGACGCGGTGGAACTTTAGAAGGAAGGCTCATGGAGTAAGATGACAAGGTCTGAGAATGATCTCATGATCCTTGTGCCCTAGACTTGACATAAAACGATTCTTCAAACCTCAGTTAACGAATAGCAACCTGTTTCTTTTTCCCAGCAAGACTAACACACTCACTCAAAAGTAAATGAGTTAAATTCAAAGGTGTTAAGAGGATTAAATCCATAAACTAACTAAAATGGTGACAACATAGTAGTAGAATGAACAGCATGATTATATGCAAACTCGTGGCAAACAATCTTCCCAAGACCTAATGTTTTTGTTTTTGTAATGAGTGCTTGCAAAAAACTAGACAAATCCCATTGACAACTTCAGTCTGCCCATCAGTTTGCGGATAAAAAGTAGTCGAAAAACAAAGCTTAGTCCCTAGTTTAGTGATATACTTTATATTTTACTGTTTTCAATAACGTTTTTGGTATTCTATCTAAGTATTTTTATTCGTTTTATGTTTTTTGAAGTAGTTTTCTTGTATTTGTAGTTTTAAAGTCTTAATAGGTCAAATCATCAAAAAGAATGCAAAAAGGAGCCACAAAAGAGTAGACCATGTCGAAGACATCTTTCCAAGTCCACAAGATCAGCCAAGTACCAAGAAACCATGAAGGCGGACCTTCTCAAAGGAGCTGCGATTCAGCATCAGATGTTTTATGGTTTACGGATGCCTTCCCGGTGATGGATTGCGATGAAATTTTAGTCATCATTGAGTCATCTCTTAAATTAAACTGGTTTGAAGTCAATCGGACCAGCGGTCAAGAGATACGTTGGTTTTACTGAAGACATGTCCGAATTGGGGCCAAGCTCTGCCCAAACTTTCTTTTTCTCTTTAAAACTATATATATTTGTTTCTAACCTAAACCCTATAATAAAATCTAAATCGGCCAAGGCCTTTCTTCTTCATTGTTAATCTTTTTTTAGATTCAAAGAGATTTTAAGAGAACTTTTCTCACCTTTGCTCAATGATTCTCGGTTTAATCTTTCTAAACTCTTATCTCTTTAATAAAGTTATGAATTCTTTTCAATATCTCTATACTTTTATCATCACCATGTGTGAGTAATTCACTTATTAAGTGCATAACAAGTTATTTTGATATCAACTTGTTTAAAACAGCTTATCTTATGGTTCTTCGCTTTTACTTGTTAT